GAGGTACTAGGTAAGTCAAAACATTGTGTCATTTTTTCCCCTAAGAGTGTTGGTCCGTGAGATAGGTCAATCAGTGTGCACTTCCAGGATGGGGAAGAGCTCACCTCACATAATATTATGGTAAGACACTGAGGGCTAAGGTTACGGTAAGTAGCTACAGACTTCCTAATGGTCTTTGACTAGGTTCTGCCAACTCGCCCATTTTCTCACTTATTTTTTCTTTAAAATAATTAAATGTTTAATCTGTAATTGGCAAACACAATAAAATGTTTGCTTTGGCCCACGGGGGGTTAGGGGTTAGTGAAAAAATTTCATTTGACAGAGAAAAGACTGAAAATGCTTTGAGATTTAATTAGCAAATGACCACACTCAGCACAGTCATTTGTCAGAAGCTTCCCCTTCTGTCTGTCCCCGACTCCTTCAACATACACTTTGTGTTATAGTGTTTTATGTTACCGAAAGGGCTCTTATGTATAAATGTTTCTTTTCAAGTACAAAATTCTGACATGGTTACAGATGTTTAGTTTCTAATTAGTAGTAACTATACACTAAAGAATGCTCCCTCTTTTACTCCTGAACTTTTGCATATGATGATTTCCCAAAGGAATCTGGCATCCATACAGAAGAATAGAAAGTAGGAAAAGTGCCAGAATTTCTGCTTTCAGATACCCTTTACTAGGGTACTTTCCAAATGCACACTATCAGGTTAAAGAGAAAAACAAAATCTCCCTTCAAAAAAGTAATGTAATTATAGAAAAAAAGAAGACGCATATTTTTAAAGTAATATTTAATTAAGTAACATTCATTGTAAAGCAATAATTAAATGTAATTTCAAGCTCTTTTCTACTGAAAATTGTTTAAGTGGAAGGACAGGATATAGTCAACACACACACACACACACACACACACACACACTACTATTAAACAAAAAACGTTTCTAGGTTACTGTTTTGTCAGCTATTAGGGACAAAGAGGGGATCCGATGAGATTTTGCTTTTCTTTAGATGTATGTGGCCTGCAGTGCAAGAAGAAATAAACACAGTCTTTTCAGCCCTACTTGGAATAAATTTGAAGCTAAAATCTCTATCTTTCCTCTGGCTAGAGTCTTCTAGTTTGATTCAATAAATGTGCCCAAATCAAGCAGAGATGCTCTTCGGTAACTCAGAAGCCAGTGGCTCTAAGGACAGAAAATTATAGCACCTGGATTTTCATCTTGCTTCAGACACTGAGTTTTGTGACTTGGATGAGTCATAATAACTTATCCGGGTCTCAGTCGAGCTGAGAGCAGTGGCAGTACTCTACGCCCAGTGTTCTGATGTGATGTCTACGAAAACATTCCAAGAAGAAAGGTGTTTTGGACATAGAAAGTTTTTCCAGTGCACTGTGCCTGTGTCTAGCACAGGATCAGCATATTCTAGGAACTGCAGGCCTCCAAATGGCCCCAATAAGGGAATCAAGACTGTGCTGCAACATTTTAAAATTTAATTTTCAATTACAGTTGATGTCCAAAATTATATTTGTTTCAAGTACACAACATAGTGGTTAGACATTTATAGACCTCATGAAGTGATCACCCTGATAAATCTAAGAGAAGACAACAAATGCATGATACAAAGGTAAGATTTTCTTTTTTTTTTTTTGGCCTCCATTGAAAGTGATGAGGAGGACTCTTTTTGAAAAGAAGTGGGACAGACAATTTCTATTTCTCTGAGTCTCGATTCTTCTAGAACATAAAGCAAAGGACCTGAAATCTCGAAGGTCATTTCTACTTTTACCATCATTTGAAAATCATTTCCTCAGTACCCTTAGCTGTCTGTGTTCCAGGCTTGAATAACAGGTCTTCTACAAGATCTATGGGGCACACAGACGCTAGTATCTTTAAACTTCTAGTTCTCTCATTCTAATAAACCCTTCCATGCTCATTTTAATCACACATTTGTCAATTGCCTACTGTGATCTTGACATTATGTCACACAAGAAATGACACATTTATAATAGTAATGCTTGCATCCTCAATTGTACAGACCTTGGCAATTTATAAAATGCCTGCAACACCCATTGCCTCTTCACTATGCAACATTCCTATAGGACATTAGAAACCTAACTTAACAGATAAAAAATACAATGAAGCTCATAAAGGCTAAATGGACTTTCCAGGATGTGTAAGCAGCAGTGTCCAGACAGAACCACCATCTATGATGCCCAGATGGAGCTCGTGGACTATTCCAAGCCATAGCTCACACCTGGAAATTGAGGGAGCATAAAAATATCTCCCAGCTAATAAAAACATAAGCTCTAATTTACAAGTATGTGGTAAATCTCTAAATAAGTGTGTTAGATTTTTTTTAACATTCGTAGGATCATGAAAACATTTCAAAATGCAATGTAAACTGTAGACTCTCTCACAAGAGAAATAGATTTATGAACATATACACATAGTTTCCCATATAATGTTAGGAGGTTCAAGATGCACAACCAAAAACCCTAGGGTAGTGTTTCCCAGACCCTGGTCAAGAACCTCCAGTTGTTCCTTTGCACACGGTGTAACTGTCAGGTATGTGCTCTGCTTCAGAGAGATGGAGATGGAGAACTAGGACACTGCTCAGAGGGAACCACTAGCTTAGAGGGGGAGCCAGACAGATAACCTCATGATCACAAAGCAGTAGCACCCACAGAGACACACACAGATGTGCAGCGGCACAGGCAGAAGAGCAGGAGGGATAGTTGGAATAGCTTTTTGGAGGATAAAAGACTTTCCAGTGAGGGTGATACCCATCTTTGGACTTCAGGAACCCTAGAGATCCCTGAGAGTTTAGAACATAGCATTCTGAACAGGGAAAGACTACTCTTCTGAGATCATCCCCCTACTTCACCCCATATCAGAGTGGTAACTAAACTTTTTTCCAGGTGTTGTTTCCCTATATTAACCCTTGGAATCTCTTCCAGTTTTCCTAAAAGTTTTCACGGGTAAGAAGCTGGGCATCACCAAAACTGTCTCTGCTCACCCATACCACTAGGTTAGGTGGGCAAACATCAACTGAGGGCCTAACACAAGCATGCACTGGGTTAAATACCAGAGAATCAGAGAGAAAAGTCACTGCCCAGGCCACAGGGAACCTATAGTCTGGGGGGAAAGACAGGGCCAATCAGCTGATGCTTTGCAGAGCCATGAGAAGTAAACACAGGCTGCTGCAGAGGAACTGAGGTGGGGCACTGAGGGAGGAGGGTGGGGAGTCTGGGAGATCATGGTCCAGCTGGGGTCAGGAAAAAGGAATAATTGGGTTTGGCAAGAAAGAGGTAGCCTGGCCAGGCCTATGCTTTTTCCTTCATCAATCCAAACTGCTCTTCAGTGCATCCAGTCAAAAGGAAGGGAACTGAGGTTTATTGAATGACTACTGTGTGCCAGGACTGGCTACCTACTTTAGACACCATTTTGTTTACTTCACTAAATCATCATTACAATGTCATTATCATCATCGTTAATTTTAAGATGAGGAAAGTGAGGCTTCTCAAGATATTTCGGGTCATAAAACTAGCAAGTGGCAGATCCTGCATTCTAAT